AGCAAACATAAAGTAAGTTTTTTGCTAGTAAATCGTTAATTTATCTTAGAATTTGATACAGGTTCCATGCAGTTTATTCGCGGTTGTGATGGCAGTAGACATTGATGAGGGCATGTTTGTCAGTGATCCTTGCCACGATGTCGCATAGGTGAGTTGGTCCAGAGGTTTCAATAGATTTGGTTGGTGGTTGGAGTGATAATAAAGAGAGCTTTCGTCTATCCTCCTCTGGATCACAAAGGGGGCATGAGATAAGGAGCGGCTTTCCGCTAAGAAGCGTACTAACAACTCTCTCCATCGTTCGAGACTGTAAAATCATTTCCCCTACTATTCTTGGGTCCAAGTGCTTGTAAAGAGAAAACAATTTAGGGGAGGACCTGGAAAGCTTAGGTACATTTGCAATATTAGGCGCTACCGAAAAGACTGAGAGGAAAACGCGAACACAACGATACAAGTCCCCACTTTAAGTGGCTGCTTTCACTTTTACCCACTTCGCTATTCCTCCTTCTATAAATAGTGCAGACGAGTTATTAAATCTGCGAAGAATAAAATGCTGACAAATGGTGAATAAGTTACATCGATGCCGATGCCCACGCTTAAGTTCAAGTAGCTTGGATGTCCACGTCTCCTGTGTGTGCATGTGAGTATGTGAGCCTACACATGTAAACATTTTCTCTGTAATAAAACCTCTCCAAGTAAAGACAATATCCAACTAATTAGCATGCGTTTTGCCACTGCAGATAAATAAAAACCAAGTACCCCTTTAACTTAATGGCGTTTAAAATAACTATTCTGGATAGATTTAGAAGAACGAGGATTAACTGCATAATATAATTTAATGAAAGCAATTTTTGGCTACTGGCTATTCCCGCATCCAAATTAATTAAGATTCCAACAGTGAAACATCACCTGCCTACCCAAGGCGTGTTTGTACTGAGCTGTGGTGATGTGAGGACATGAATTGTTTACTTCACAATGGCGGAGAGCATAGACAAGGGGGAGAGAGAGAGTATGCTTTGTGAACACATAAAATTGGCCTCGAAATTGCAAGTGAGAAATATCTAGCTCCCCATATCTGTAAATTACTGCCCCTCTTGATGTCTAAAAACCATTTGGCTACCTATTTAATGCTCTAGATCACTACCTCTCCAGTCAGCTAGCTCTCCACATCTTCATATCTAAATATTTGAACCCCAAATTCCCATTGTCTATTTGCCACTCAAACTGCTTAGTCCAATAGCTCCCAATCCCTCTAAGATCAGGGTTCTCTGCCCATCTACCTCAATTTCTCTAAGGATTTTTGGCTCCCTAACTGTCAATTACTCTAATTCCCTAACCAGTCGCCCCACTTTACCGTTAATTCTCTATCCCCACAACGCAATAGGAGGTCAAGTCTATATGAGTCCAT